CTTTGACAGTGAAATGTAAAATATAGCTAATCAAAGACTTTAATGGACATGTACCTTTAGTTATCCCAAACACAAAGAAGTAAAAACATGTTAGGCTTTTCGTGTATTTTATTAGTGCAAATCTACTATCACAAAGGTTTTCAGCAAGGCTCTCAAAGCTTACCATTACAGATGATTAGTCATGCTCTATATTGTTCTTTGATATCTGGAATGGGATTTCATTAATTTGCAGGCATTCTTAATGCACTGCATAAGGTCAGAGATTACTGGTTTCCCACAAATGAACTTTTCTTCCTCCATTTAAAAGGATTTAATGGAAAGTAATATAAAAGTTTCTACTGAAGAACTGGTCCTGCTGGTTCTTGGAGCCAAGTGCTGATCCCAGACCACCACCTTCTGGAACTCTGCAGAATCACAGGACCGCTTTGTAGACTGCAGGAGTCTGAAAAGGACTGGAGACCAGGGGAGTGGTCAGATGAAACGTCATTCACTGCACACTTGTCCTGCAGATTGCCAGAAAACTGCTGGTGAGTGCCACTCAAACATTCGTTACCTGGCTAGGAGAACCTTTGATCTAACCTGGAATTGACACTTTTTTTTCCCCCCTTATGTTTTCTTGTAGAATAAACAATAACAGAATTTCTTAAAATTAAATATAAAAGTGAGGATTTGCATAGAAATTTCTCTTTACCAGTGTAACACCATCTCCAGCTCCATGGTGTCAACAGACAGGGAAGACACAGACCTGTGCACCCAGGACAGATACACCAGACAAGCCATGACTCCCCTGACTCAGCAAGTCTCCACACTTATTCCAGCAGCTCCTCCACAGGCATATATGGCTCAAGCACTCTGACAAGCTCATCAAACCAGCCTTATACCATGCCACAGGTACTGAATGCAGTTTTACATCTGGGATATCATGAGGAAGTTTTTGGAGGGTAACAAGAGAAAGACAGAAGAGGGTGATAAGCTCAGTGAGAGACTCCCCCCCACTCTTTCTGAAGTGGGTACAACACAATCAGTCTTAGAAAAAAGATTTGATTTGGTTTACTTAATTGTAATAAGATTATCCTTTGGTTAAACAATACCCATAAAATAGTAACTTTTTAATAGTCCATTGAGATGACTTTCAAGAGTACTAGCCTGATAATAAATTTGTTTGACAGGGTGCTACTGATATCCCAATAAGTCACCATAAGATGCCCTGATCCCATCGAAGTCAAGGGCAAAAAAAAGTCATATTGACTGAGCAGAGGATGTACTTGGCTTTAAAAAGTAGGGAGGAAAGTACAGTAAGTCCTCACTCTGTCTTACATTCCATGTGAGTACCTCTAAGATACAGCTGTGACTTTCTTCTTTCTCTCGTTACTACTGTTTATCTGCTTGCATTTCAAGAGAGGTTTTGTTCACTTAGAGCATTCTAGATCAGTTCCCACCAATGAGCACAGCTGACTTCTGCCTATTTAGTGGTCTGATTTCTCCACATGTCTGAGCTTGGTGCTAACCTTCCAGGCAGAAGCAGATGGAGCTCAAAATCATACAAGGAGTTAGTATTGTACTTTAAATAGTACATAACATTGTATTTTAAAAGTTAAAAACCAAATTATTACTAGTCAATTTCAAATAGAAACTGGAAATGAAGATTGATGGAGTCCCTCTGTTAATTTTGGCCTCCTTTCGCAGGATTGCATGTTTACCAAGCAATACTGACAGTGTGAAAATTCAGGCTTGTGACACACCCGTGAAGAAAGCAGAGAAGCACAATTTACGGCTGGAGCTGCTGCCTCTGCAGTGCTGGCCGCTGGCAGAGCGCCTTACAGACGGGGGCACTGCTGCTCCAGGCGCTTTGCAAGGGGAGAGGCTCAGCCTTCCTCCAAGGCATTGGCTCTCATTTCGTCAAATGGATGCAAAAACCCTTGCTCACTTGCTAGTGTTCTCCGAAGGGGCAACAGAAGAGAAGATCTCCAAGCTGTGTCTCTGCTCTTGATGGCAATGTGGCACAGAGTAGGAGCTGGCAGCATAAGCGCCCATGAGCTCTCAGCCACTGCACTGTCAGTTTTCAGCCTTGCTCTGCACTGCAGTAAATAACGTTTATATAGCACTTGAATATATGTTTCACCCACTGTCTGTGGGTGCTTTCACCACAGCTTTTGCATTCACCTAATGCAACAACAATTAGAAAGAGGAGAATTATCTACCCTACATAAAGCAAAGTGCTGATGTAAATGTGAGCAAAGAAACATGCAAAAAGAATGCCTGTCTTTCTGATATTCTCTCTTTGTCAGTTTTCTGGACCAGTAAAAAGCTTTCCAAAAAACCAAACTACTTCTGACAGAATAAAAAGTCAGAAATACTTTGCTTAAATTAAAGAATAGTGTCAATTAACAATATCAAAGGTACAATCTTTATCTGCTGCCTATACTAGCCTCTAACTCTTTTGTGGCTTTGTTATCCCTAGCCAGAGCTGCTTTCATAGGCACTGCACCCAGGAGGCCATGAGGAATTTTGAGACATTTATTTCTTCTAAAGAAGTAATACAGAAAGTCAGTGACTTAAGCCTCCCAAATCTCAGCTTTTTTTGGCAGCATCTGAGCTGTGATATATCATAGTTGAGGAACAGAACTGTGTTCACCTGGTGCTCAGATCTACATGGGGAAAGGTGTTTTGCTAAAGCATTGGCCTCACTTCCCTTCTGATGGATGTAGAGGGGAGAAGATGCCAGGTCTCAAACACAGAAGACATGGTTTTCAGTGCATGACACCATGGCAGCCAAGGCACCAGTATCAGAGGAGGTTCCCGACTTTCATGTAGTTGAAGGCAAGCTAATCCCCAGGCAAATGTACACAGGGAATAGGGAATATTGTGCCACACATGGGACACAGAAGGAATCAGCTGCCAAGTGTTTCTCCCACAAATTCCCTGATTGCATACCTGAGTGTGCCTCATTCCCAGGCTAATGTGCTGCAAGGATGAGACTGAACCAGTAATAGCCAAAGCCACCTCCTTCATCTCAGGACCAGAATGAAAGGACGGGGACCCAGTAAAAGCAAATGTGAAGGTAAAACTATGAGTTTGTCATTAACTGAATTAGGTAGAGGAGGGTGGGTGTCCAGCAGCAGTGCCCAGGGTCAGAAATCCTGTGTACACAGAGGACAAAGGGCCTCTTGTCACATGCAGAAAGCAAAGGTCACTTTTGTGGTCTTTCAAGATCACAATTTGCAGGTCAAAATTCCTAACCAGAGATGTGTGTCCTCCATGACATCAGCAACCATGGTAGCTATTTGAACAGAGTCAGGGTATTAGACTAAACTAGACTAGACCTCACCTGCTAGTGCCACCCCTGGAGCCACCCTCCCCACCAAGGAGATGCCAGTTAGGAACTGACCATCATTGTGAGTAATATTCTACTTCCACATTGTATGGACAGCACTTGGCATACAGTGGATCCCTCCTCAGTATACTAAGGTTGGCCTGAGACAAGGCAAACCAAAAAAACAACCAGTAGTAGAGAAAAGAGAAACAGCCTGTCTCTGGATCTTCTGTCCTACCACATGCCTCTTCACAGTTAATCAGATCAACAGATCACACTGTCACATTCCAGAGAGTTTCAGCTCTGGTGTTTCATTTCAAGCTGTTGAGTCTGTGTTGCTTCCCAGACCTTCCTGGATGCGATCCTTTCCCAAACGCATAGTTTGAATCTATGTTCGGAAGGAGGTGCTTGGGATGTGAATGAGCTCCAGACACAACTCATGCTGTATCCACATGTAGGATATGTCTCTAGGATGTGCTGTAGTCATAGGAATTGATCAAAACACCAGTGCTGGTAATCTAGTGTTCAAGGTAGATTTCCAAGTCAGTACATTTATTATTATTTCTTTCACAGAGATAATGTAGCAAAAACCAAAGCTCACCAGAGTCCCCTCCCCTTCAAGTACAAGGTCTGAGTTCTTAATTTAGGAAGGCAGAGGCCTAATCAAAAACAAAGTGTGAAGACAGTTTGGCAGATACTGGGTTTGAAGTTATGGACCCTGGGTCTGACATCCCTTGTAACCACGGTTTAATCTAAGTCAGCCCCATGCTGCCCACAGTGGGATGCAGGAGAAAATTGAATGAGTAAAAGTGAATTAACATATGGGCTAAGTTAGATACAGTTTAATAGGGAAAGCAAAAGCTACATGCACAAGCAAAGCAAATCAAGGGATTTGTTCACCACTTTCCATGGGCAGACAGCTGTGTTCAGCCATCCCCAGGACAGCAGGACTCCAACACACACAGCTGTGACTTGGGAAGACAAATGCCATCACTTTGAACATGCCCTCCTTCCTCCTTCCTCCTTCCTCCTTCCTCCCCCAGCTTTACATGCTGAGCATGCCAGACTATGGAACGGGACATTCCTGCAGTCATTCGTGGACAGCTGCCCTGGCTGTGTCCCCTCCCAGCTCCTTGTGACCCCTCCCGGCCTCCTCGCTGGTGGGACACAGAGGAGCAGAAAAGGCCTTGGCGCTGTGTGAGCACTGCTCAAGGACAGCTAAAACATCGGTGTGTTAGCAGCAGTGTTCCCAGCAAATCCACACCTCAGCCGCACAGCACTGCTTTGAAGAAAACGAATTCTACCCCAGCCCAAAGCAGCACAGCTGGCTGTCAGTCGCTGTCCCTGCCCTATCCCCTGTCCGGGTGTAGCAGCCGCAGCGCGCTGGGGCAGCTGGCCGCGGGCCGTGCTGGGCTCTCGGGCCGGGCTCTCGGGCCGGGCTCTCGGGCCGGGCTCTCGGGCCGGGCTCTCGGGCCGGGCACTCGGGCCGGGCTCTCGGGCCGGGCTCTCGGGCCGGGCTCTGGGGCCGGGCTCTCGGGCCGGGCCCTCGGGCCGGGCTCTCGGGCCGGGCTCTCGGGCCGGGCCCCGCGCCGGGCCCCGCGCCGGGCTCTCGGGCCGGGCTCTCGGGCCGGGCCCCGCGCAGGCCCCGGGGGCTCGGCGGCGCCGGGCCGCGGGCTCTGCACATGCTCCGTGGGCCCGCCCGGGCCGCTCGCTGCCCGCGCCGCGCTGCCGGAGCCGCGGCGCCCGCTGCCGACATGGCCCTTTTCAGAGCCTCAGACAGGCTTCCAGGGGCATCTTCTTTAGAGAGTCCATACAGAATATAATGTTTCCAACAGGCTCTTGCCTTGGCAACAACTGCAGCCGTAAAGCGAGTTTAATCCTCTGAGAGGAAGACTGGTGACAGCTGTCGCTTCACTGTGTGCTGTAATATATGAGATTCTGTCCTGAAAACCTGGAGGTGGCATTTGTCTGGTCTGGTTGTAAATAATGAGATAGATCACAATGGATTTCAGTTCCTCATCTGTGTTTGACCAGCACAAAGGTAAGTCACGTGCTGCTAATTTCAAAATCCTCTGGTCCTCCAACGTGTGCCATGCAAATGTACTGAGATTACTTGACAGACTGAATAACGTGAATTTTCGGGAAAGATTAGGTTTATTTTGGTTTCATGTAAAGGAATTTCTTCCATCGGTTTTAGACTGGATGGACATTTCAGTCTATTGCTACAGTGATTTCTAAAAATTAATTTTCAGCAGAATAGCAACAGTGTCTGGCTATTCTTATGGTTAGCACTGAGAGATGTATATGTGTAGATTTATCTTTATATTGTATATTGGTGTTTTTTGTGGTTATAGATGTTAAAAACAGTTGCAGTACTAGCAAACAGAGCAGTTTTAAATTGAGTAAAAAATTTAAGGACAGCTGGTTTAGTCTATACTAAAAGGATTAGAAGCTGACAAGTGAAATAATTTTCTTTAGGAAATTTATCTGTATAAGTGAGTATTGCCATAATTGCAAATTTACGATATCACTAAAATCCCCAACATGAAGATTTCCTACATTGTAAGGTTACTGTGGAAATACAAATGTCTCTTTCTTGTCTATTTTGAAGTTAAATGTTAAATTTCATGTCTTTATTTGCCAATACAAGCTTTTGTGTTTTACGGCTTAATCTACTACAAGTGTAGCAACATTCCTTTTATGTTCCCAAAGCAGGACACTGTCATTGCTTGATTATGCCTGTTGCAACAAATTTCTCTTTTAAGTTGGCTTACCAAACAATATGTGTGCAGTGGCTACAGGTGTCAGCACAGATCTGCAAAATATCTGAGCTGACATGGCCACGCAGGCCCCACAACAAAGGGACTGCAGTGGAACAAAAATGAAAGCAGGAGGAAGACAAGGCATTGCCCTTTGGGAAGCTGAGTGCTACAGGTTGTACTTCTATGCTTGCCTATACTTCCTTGGTGAACCCAAGGTAAATACAGCCGATATAAAGAGGTGGGTTTATGGCTGCCCTTCAGCCACAGTAGCACTCAAAGCCTGAGCAAGTCTTGGGAATAGTGGTCTACATCAATCCAGCTGGGACCTGCATGTAGTGGGGGACAAGTGGGAAGAATAACTGAGTGACAAGAGAAAAATCTACTACCAACAAGTATAAAGGAGAAAGGAAAGTGCAGTGGTAAAGGGGGGGACTGTACTGCAAAAAAAGAGACAAGTATTTCTAAATGATGTGTGAATGACCTAAGGAGCATTTTTCCCAACAGGACAGAGGTGTGGGGCTGACTGAGCTTCTGCAGCTCCAAACAGTCATTCCAGCCTCTGTTTCTGCAGCACTATGAGTGTCCTCTGTTGCCACATGCCAGCCCAGCAGGGCTTGCAGTGGGGAGGCAGAGGCAAAATTCTGCATGCTCAGTGCCATCAGGATGGCTGCCAGGGAGCCAGTGGAAATGGTGCCAGGAATGAGGCTGGAATATCACCAGGGCTGGGGAAGGCAAAGCCAAGTCTCCACATGGCTTAGTGTGCAGAAAGCAGTGCAGGTGACCTCGGACCCAAACCAGTTTATCCAGATAGGAGGGACAGAGTTGGGAGGCAACATCTACCTATACCTCCCCTTGCTCCTAATTTGCACCCCCTCCAGCTGCCAGGCCACTCTCCACACTGACCCATCCTAATTTCTGTCTAGCATCACCTGCTGCCTGTGTCACTCTCCACCTACATCAGTTCCCCTGCCAGAAGGTCCCTTCACTATACATTTATCACCTCTGCTTCACTGACGCTGCTGGAATGCTTGCTTATTAGGTGCTTTGTGATTTACTGCACGCCTTCCCTGTTAGCTGTGTGGGAGGTGGATGGGAAGTAGGAGCACAAAACACACAGTAATGAGATACTGAGCTCATTGGTTACTATGCAAAGGACACTCTACTCAAAACTTGCAGTGTATAGTGGATTTTGTCTAAATACCCTCTTATTGTGTTGGCACATTATTGATTTAAACAGGCATAATTGTTTTAGCAAGGAGAAGGGAAATGTCTTTCATTGCAGCAATTTATAACAATGGAATAATACAAACTATCTTTTAAATACACTAAATTTCTCTCTGTTCGTCCAAAAAAATAATTCAGGTCCCCACAAAAACCATTTTTTCTCCATCCCACATGTCAGAAGACTCTCTCAATTATAAATAAAAATAAATCCCCATCATTCCAAGTTTAAAAATCATACTGTCTCTTTGCAACACGTCTTATGGTACTGTTCAATAATATCTCATAATGCTTACAATAGTAACAGGAATGTGGGACTTACAGAAGGCAAACAACACCAGAAACCCCTTCCCTCCTAATATTGCTTGCTGCCACTTGAATAAATGCATGCTGTTCCTGATTTCATGTGTTTACTAAATAAACAGAGAAGCCAGACAAAGGCCTGTACTGGTGCGTGCACTGACAGGCACACACAAGGATTATTACTTTGTTAAGTGTTCAGTAAAAATGCAGTAGTAGAGAGTAAGCTACACTTCTCAAAAACTGCACCTCTCACTGACCCTTGACACTCATCGAATAAACTACACAGTATTGTGTCCTGAAAACAAGGTGTAGGAAATCACATATGGCCAGCCTTTGGGTAGTGGTGGGGACAAGGGATTATGAGAGAGAGGGTAGTAAATTAAATGCATAAATATTTCTTTTTCACAATGAACATGAATTATCCTATTATTCTGTCTTCAGTTTTTAATATCTTGTAGTTTAGCAAGTCCAAAATCAATCATTGTCATGTATATGTATGACCATGTACACCAAGCTCCAGCAAATTTATATAGAACTTAAAAATCCAATGCGCTAGAAAGCATGCACTTATGTACATCTAATGTGTACTTTGTAAAACAACAAATCAGCTAACATCGCAAATAATGTAAAACATGCATTCTTCATAGTACCTCAGAGGAGGATTAAGGAGGAGAATTAAGGTAACGAGAAGGACAATTTCACTGCTCTGAATCCTGTGATGATTCTCTTTTTATATGCCCCCTTTTTTGATCAAAAGTAAACTACTTTGCCTTGAAGAAATTATACATTCTTAAAACACTGCAGCTTGTTTCAGATAGATAGGTGTTTAACTTTGATTGTTTCTGAGGATTTTAGCACCACCCTGTATGTCATTTAATCTTTTCTTCCAGACCTTTCTACACCACTACTGTCCGCCTGCAGTTTCTTCCCTGCCTTTCTCTGTAAACAAGCACTTAAATGGATCTTCTGCCTTTCTGAATATGACTGATAGTATCACAGTAATTCTCTAAAATGTAAAATGTATTTGAGATGGGACCATACTAAGTAGCATTTCTTGAACTGCAACATAGTAATGGAGTAACTCTAACACATTAGAAGGTAAAGAGTCATATATTTGGTTGTTCACAATCCCTTTCTGCTACATGATGCTTGTGACCCAGCCACAGCCAAGCCCACAGCAGTGTAAGCTCACAGAGGTGGGGACACAAACATTCAGTACTTCACTGTTGCCTTTTGCAAAATGTCCACTCTCTGAACCATTCCTCTTCTGCCCAGGAAGATGTCTCCAAAAATAAATGTCCTATTAGCTTTGTACCCATACTTCTCCATTCCTTGACAGGCTAAGCTGGAGGAAGATGAAGTGGTCGTGTTGTTCACCTGGAGCCAAGTGCATCCAGCACAAATGACATCCAAGCTATCCCAGCATTTTCTGCTCTCTGTCATGTGAAGCATAAGAGGACCATTTATCTGTCTTCCTTCTCAATCCCCATTCACAATCAACAGGTCAAGACACCCTACTTGAAGTTGTGTCACCCTACAGAAATGGAATTCAAGTCAGTCATCTTTATTCAGATCCCAGCATGAGCACTCATCCATTCCTCCTGTCCCAGGCTCCCAGGCAGGATGACAGCCTGGTCCACCTGCCTCTCCTTGCTCTGGCAGATGGGACTTGTAGTTGGGGACGTGTGAATCTTTGTGGCATCCTGCCACCATCCTTTAACAGGAATGGAGCCTGTGTTCTGCAAGAAGAGGCAGGGGCAGAACTTCATTCATTTTTACATCCATCCATCCGTCCGTCCATCCATCCCTCCCTTCCTCCCTCCCTTCCTCCCTCCCTCCCTCCTTCCCTCCACAGTTTTACTTCCCTTCCTTATACAAAAGGATAATTGCTCTGGGGAGAGCAGACTGAGCCCAGCAGAAGCAAAGGGGAAGTTTCTTGGTTTTACCTAGAGGCAAAAGGGCAGAGATGTTCAGAGACCCATATGAAGGAGTGCACCCTTGTCCTCATCTTCTTGCCATAGCACCCTCCAGGTAAGCAACTGCTCTGCTCAGGAGATGGAGATTTCCCTTTTGTGGCTAGATTTCTCTGCTCCTGATTCACAGCAGGAATACCTAACAGTGCCTACAAGGCAAAAAAAAGAGTACAAAATTTACATGTGTAATGCATCAAAGGAGGTGAGGGCCCCTTTGATTCACTTTCTGCCTCACTGCATCTAGCAGTTTCTTTCCCAGTGCCAGCAGCATCTTCTCTGTACCACACCCACACAGCACCTGCACAGCTGTACATGACAGCAGCCATGAGAGGAGCCATGTCATTGCTCGGGGCTGGCACCCTCTGTGTACCTCCAGAGACTGGAGGACAAGAGGAACAGCACAAGCTATCAACCACGCAGACCTGAGCTTGTCATTAGCATGTTTTCTAGTATACCAACTTTGAGAGGCATCTTCTGGTCTGACATAATAAGGAAATATTACCAACTGAACCAGTGGTGAAGTCACTTCTTTTTCTTCACATACTAGTCACTGATGATGACTCTACAGCAGCAATGACTCCTCATCTCTGTGGATCTCCCAGGCCCACAGGACAAAGCTTCTGAGCCAAGTGAACAGTTGCCTCAGCAGCAGACCCCTCAACAGAATAAGAATAAAGCTAACATTTTTATTCACAAACTTTATGAAGTGTGTAATTTAAAATACTAGTTAGAAAAAAGAAATAAATTAGATTCTCTTTAGCCGAGGAGAAATGAAGAGGGAATCTGTGGCAAAGACAGATTAAGATCAGTTTTTTAATTTTCTCAAGCCCACAGAGTTCCAGCTTTGACAGACTAACCCATTCCAGAGTAAGAACAGCTTGTGTTTCCATGGCAGCCAAATTATGGAGTCCAGAGTACTGATTGCACCCAGTGAGAGAAGGTTACCTGCAAAATTAGGCTAGGCTGTGAAGTCCAGCATAGGTCTTACGCAGGTTCTTCTGAGACAACATCTGATCACAACATGAGTAGTGTGGCTAATACTTTACAACAACATTCGTAGATACTTTATCACTTAAAAAATATAATAGCAGTGTTTAAAATACCATTTCTACAAAGGTACTATGAATAATGTAATATTTGATTGTGATAACAGCTTTATAATAACTATTTCAACACTCTTAAACTATCTCCCTTTTTTCTGCACAGCTCATATAGTCATGGTATCTCCAGAAGTTTGACAGTACAGATAAGTCACCAGTCATTTAATCTGTCTTTCCTTTGATCAACTCTCTAATGTGACTCAGGCATTTTCTCCAGCTAGAAGAGTTTCTCCAGGTAGAAGAGTTGCTTGGCAAGTGATAAGTTTTATAGCTCTGACCCTGTCCTGGTTTAACCTGGAATAGAGTTAATTTTCTCCTTAGCAGCCAATACAGTGCTGTATTTTACATTTAGTATGAGACTAATATTGAAAACACAGTGCTATTTTAGTTGTTCGCAGTTAGCGCTTGCCCTAAATCCAGGACATTTCAGTGTCCTGTGCTCTGCACTGCTCAGGTGCCCCAGGGGCTGAGGGAGCTTGGCCAGGAGAGCTGACCCGACCTGGCCAAAGGGATGTTCCATACACAGACTGACATGGCCAGGATGTGAACTGGGGGAGTGGGCTGGGGGGAGCCAGGAGCTGCTGGGGGACGGGCTGGGCATCGGTCAGCAGGTGCTGAGCAACTGTACCATGCATTACTTGCCTTTCTTGGGTTTTATTAATCTCTTTCTCTCCTTTTATTACAGTTATTAGTCATATTGTTGTTGTTCTGGTGGTGGTAGTGATGATGTTGTGTTACTTAAATTATCAAACTGCTATTACCTTAACCCAACAACTTTACCATTTTCTGATTTTCCTTCCCACACCACAGGGGTCACGGTAGTGACTGAACATTGGGGGCATCTGGGGTTAAACCCCAAGAGAACCTCAGCCATTGTGAACAGTACAGCTCAATGCAGCTGTACTTCTTTGTGAGTTAATAGGGATAAGAAACATGAGACTGTTTCTGACCAACAATAAATATCTACAGCATTTTACCGTTAATCAGATCTGATGAAACCGCACCCAAAAATCTACTCTTTTGACTCCTAGAGTTAAGAGGCTAATAATCCACTTGAAGCCAAAGGAGGTGCACACATGTGGAGCATGACATGACAAGTCTGAAAGAAAGTGAAAAAGAAAGAAGCAAAGAGAATCCTATTTCTTTAGAAAGAAGTATCTGAGGAATGTTCCAGAACAGGTCCTGCAAGGCATCTGCTTTTAATAATAACTCACACTGTAGCTGCCAAACAAAATAAACCTCTCCTGGGTTCCAAGAAATAGTCCACTTTTCCTTTTTGCAGGAATTATCAACACAAACCATTGGTGCCAGAAGTTTACTCTCCCAAGAAGAGAATTCCCTTGGACATTGCAGGGAGGTGAAAAGCCTGTCTTCTGACAGGTACAAAGATAACACTGAAATTGAAAACACCTGAGTCCTGATTTCATCCTATCTCATAAAAATGCAGCCAGAAATATTATGGGCTAGTTTAGTTATTACATTTTTTCTCAAGTCATGTTACATTAGTATGATTTCTTACAAGAAGTGGAAACTTTCCAGAATTTTTCTTAAGTCCTTTCAGCATCTATGTTTGAAAGTTTTTGGAAGAAGTTATGATGAAAAACAATTTTCAGATGACTAAGAAAAACCGAGTGCTGTTTAGATACACTTTGTTCCACCCCAAGTTAGGCAGTCATTTAAATTCAGTGAGACAAGTGTCATTATTTTGACTGTTTATCATTTGTACTTGTTCTCTGTTTGCTCATGGATGTGCTCTTTGTCTGCAGCTGATGCAGCAGAAGAAATAGACTTGGCTGTGGTTTACCAAGCAGCAGCTAATGGCGATGTGAACACCCTGACTGCAGTGATCCGAGAGGATCCTTCCATCCTGGAGTCTTGTGACAGAGAGGGTAAATGAAGGCCAAGCTTGTTCTCAGGAGATCTGTTGCTTCAGCTTGCAAATTAAACTTTCCAATTTTTTATTCTGATTTTTGTGTTCAGCAAATTATATTTAGTAGCAGAATATGGGAATTTTGAGTTACTCTTTGGAACATCCACTGGAAAAGCACAGTTTGGATAATTCCTTCTCCCTGTAATTGTAAGATATTTTTTATATGATTACAAATAACCTGTTTTGCTATAATTAGACAGTACTTTACCATTTATTTAGTTTATCTTATTTAGGGGTATGCTGAGAAACTGCTGACATTTCAGTGGAGGAAAAAGAATATTTTTACCAATGCCAAATGACCTGCATTCTGGACGTTTCTAAAACAGAAGTTATAGTATATGTACAGTAACAGTTTGAATGGTTTTGTCAAGTAACTTTTTTGCCGAAGGATAAAATGTGCAATTATCTAAATTATCTGTTTTATCTGTCAGTCTGTGTTCATTTTGTGTTTAAGCTACTATTTAATGTTATTACAAATTATTGTACATTGGCTGGGTTTTATATTTCCAAAGTGAATAAGAACCACAGACCTCTAGAAGCTGTTCTCAAGGGCAACTTTTTTTGTCAGAAGTATTTTTTAATTGCAGTTTCTTATAAAGGGCCCATATGAACACTGGGTTCTAATCTTCAACAGGTTTTACCAAGCTACCAATTTTTCATATACTTTAAACCAGGCATTCTAACTGCTATCTTTAAAACATGTACTGGTTAGAGAAAATTTACTCAAGAAAAAATGGTCCCTATCCATTCATTAATGGGAGAAAGGCTAGGTATGAATGGTGTGTGGAGTAGGAGGAGATGGACTGGCCAGGAGTACTTCAGCTCTGGAATTAACTTTACTCCTAGGTTGTCCTTGTAAATGTAACTAAAGAGCAGTACTCCAGTACTAAACATTCAGCTCATATCCTGCACATTTTTCAGGCTCTACATGACCTCATGTTGAATAGCACATTTCCTCAGCAATCTCACTGAGTCCAGTAAGAATAATTATTCTTCAACTACAGTTGAAGTTTCTAGTAGTCTTATAGTTTCTAATACTCATGTTTATTCTCAGCCTAGGAATTTTAAAATGCTTTGTCAGATTCTGCAGGAAAATCTCTTGCTGTTTTTCAACAGTTAACAGAATGGAAGGAAGAGGAAGCAATTAAATGGTACAATACTTCACAAAGAAATTTGAGTATTAGGTTTAAATGGAGATGTTAGGGTTTTTTCAAAACGGAATTTTTTTAAGATATTAAAAAAGTTCTTCTAAAAACAGGAAATAAAATATCCTAGAGCAAATCCGGACTTCAAATTAAGTTGTTCTCTGCATAAAGGGTTAACTCATACTTTTATACCTTTGCAAGGATCAGAGCTTTATTTTGTAAGTCTTTTGAATATACAGACATAATGAAGCTGGGGTTTGAGAAAATTAGACAAGCACCACCTGGCTACTAGTCATTCTGAAGGATATCAGCCTCCAAAATTGTGTACAAAGCCGAAAGTTCATTTTGGGAACTTATCAACAAAAAAGCACTTTTCTGTCCAGAAGCAGAGTTAATGAGGTAAAGCTTTTCCTAATGTAGTCATGCTCTTTTTAAAATCAGTGGTCAGTGACTGTCGTAGAAGTTAGTTCCTGACTAAAAAAAGCTGAGTACAACTATTGGACAGTTGTCAGAGAAAGGATTTGTTAGCTTGCCAGTGTTAACATTAGAAAATAAGAAACTATATCTTATAGGCATGACACAACAAATGGTAAAATAAATTTGGCTTTCTTCTCCAGGTTGCACACCTTTGATGCATGCTGTGTCAGGACGCCAGGTTGACACAGTGAAGCTTCTGTTGAAGATGGGAGCTAATATTAATACTCAAGATGCTTGTGGACGTACCAGTTTATCTCTGGCAACTTACTTGGTACCAGGACTTGGGAGACAAGGATGGAGTGAAGGGAGTAAATGTGCAGACCAAATAAAATTTCTGCTTATACTAAAGGAAGAAAAAAAAAAAAGCACAAAACATTTGGTTCTAGACAATAGTGGAATTGGTTTTGAAACTTTACTACAATGCCAAGCTGAGCAATGATTATTACAAGAGAATCAGGACTCCTGTCAGACACTCCTGTCAGAGTGTCCTTTCTCTTTAGGCTTATAATACCAGTGCATGATAGGAGGATCTCACAAGAAAATAACTTTTTTTTGTATACTGAAAGTGCCCACTTGATTTTAATATGCAGATTGAGTTCTCCCCCTTGTATAGCCAGCATTAGATATTTATACTCTAGTGAGGACTTTACTGTCTGAAATTCTGGTGATCAGCAGGCATGTGTTCCTGCACACCGCATGAACCAGGGTTTTGCTTATTTTCACTGTGGTGCTGGATTTTGGATGGCCAGGTTGAGGACTGAAGTCCTAGGTGCTACAGGTGCTGGTACACTTGGCTCAGATCATAAACAATTCAGTCCCCTGATCAACCTACATGCAAATGACAAGAGGAGCAGACATCCCACTGAGACATTTGGGAAAGGAATTGTACTTCAGAATCTATCTGAAGCAACAAGGATAGTGCTCTTCTCCTTAGTCTTCTACTCCTTGCAGGAGGTAGTTAAGGTTTCAGAGCGGAAGTGTGGTCCAAGTTAGCCAAACAGACTGGGCTTCCATTATTAATTGGAGAGAAAGGAAGAAGGAGCGTGCAGCCATGGCTGCCCAGTATGAGTTAAGCTGGATGACTGCCAGCTCATTTAAACAGATACTGTGGCAGCCTAATTAAATGACATCTCTTGCACGTAGTTTCTTCCTGAAAATTCAGGACAAAAACAATGTTCTTGCTTAGCTATGCAATATTCAGCCAGAAAATAAGTATAGAAAGTAACAAAACAGGCAGTCTCATCCAGTGCAAGGAGCATGTCCCACTTACTTGACAACAAACATTTCCTCTGCAACATATTTTACAAAAATCCCATAATAAGTGTCACGCTTCTTTTTTCCTTCCTCTTTTCCCGGAGGGGAAAAAATACTCTTTGGAAAAAAAGAAATTACTGGAAAAGATTTAAACCACCCAGGCTTCTAAGATTCCATTTCTGTTTCTGTAAGGGATATAACGAGAGGTCCAGAAAGAATTCTGCTGTGATGTCTGTCCAGACAAATGAATTCAGGAGGGTTGCATAGTCAAGACTGCATGTGGCATTTGGTGGTCCTATACATCCGCCAAGAGTTCAGGGTGTTCTGATTCCACCATTCCACACGTTTTCCCCAGAAATGCTCCTAATGCCAATCCAAAATAGTTCATGTGAGAGGGAATGGTCTTTGTCAATTGTCTGCTGAAGTTTTAACAAAACACAAACTCATTCTTGGTTTTCTTTAGACTTCAGTATATGCTGAAAGATTTATGCAGTCACAAACAGACTGTTTACTTGCTTTTATATTGAGGTGATCAATAGAAGGTTTTAGTCCAAGAACTGATTCATTCCATCTGTTTTGGTGCTATTTTCAGTCTAACACTGCCACCAGTACAAACTTCTGCAACAACATTTATAAGACCACACTCTAAGGCTTTTTACCATTGATTTGCCATCCTTGCTAAAATCTCACAAACAAAATCAGATTGAGCACTCATGTTCTTGGTTTAATTTAGTATGACTGAATTCACATGCAAGAATATGTGTAGCATATGCAAGTGATACAAGAATTAGCAAGTTTTTAATGACTGTTAGTGCTTGCCACAGATACAGGGGGAAAATAAATGAACAAAACAAAAAATACAGGGCAAATTAAACACCTCATCAGAGAAATGAGCAACTGAGGTAGTTTGAGACCCAGACTCCAAAGGTGAACTACTCTCAATGCTGAGAAACCTCTACTGAGGAAAAAAATTCCAGTTTCCCTGCTGACAGAAATGGCTACAGTCACATGTGAATGCCAGAAAATAAAAGATCTGGCCTTATACTTTTCCCTTTCCTCTTTGATAGGCTCCAATTTCTTTTTTAGGGCTGGCTGGAAGGCTGTGTCAGCTTGCTCAGGAATGGTGCTAAGCAGAACATACCTGACAAGAACGGGAGGTTGCCACTGCACGCTGCCACTGCAGAGCCTGACGTGAGGTATGTGCCTGGCTCCCACAGCTTTTGCTGGTTGAATCTTTCAACCCAAGGGGAGCCCACAGCAAGAATAGTTGTGACAACTACACTTATAGCCTGTGTCTTTGTTTAGTGGTTGCCGTGAAGAGGGTATAGAGGAGGAAAAACATTGTGCCATACTTGTGTACCAGAGATTGATGGCCAGGTAAAAAAAGGAGCCTGTTTTAATATTGCAATAGCTGTAGGAGGGAAAATAATTATAAGAGAAATTGAAACCCTATATTTCTCCTGCCCAACTACCTTTCTGTCCTACCACATGAAATGTTATGAGACTCCTTCTCTGGACTTCTCTGAGTAGCATGGCAAATGTGAGAAAAGTTTTCCATAAGACAACCTCTCTGAAAATCCCCAACCATAAAGGGGAAGTTAAGGACTGGTGGTCTGCCTCGTTTTTAACTACTTTTACAGAAGATAGAGTAACAGCTACAGAGTATCTTCACAAGAATTCTTAAGAAAGATTCTCTTTTTCTGGTTCCAGCCTGTGACAATAGGAAGTATTAATAAATTTTGATTTGTATAGCTGAATAAATTCACTCAAAAACTCCCCTCAGTAAATCATGAAGGTATAGAAAGATAAGAAGCGGGTAAAACATTCAGTACATGTAGTATATTCATGTGATTTAATCACCGAGTTCATGATTTTGTTGCTGTAACTATATCAGACCAGGCCAGACACCTGGCAATTTCTGCTGATCTTGTTCTCCAGCCTTTTTTAACAGCTTTATTAATTTTCCACATTATCTTTACTTTTCATGCATCACTTGGAGAGAGAATTTTCATGCATCACTTGGAGAGAATAATTTGAGATTTCTGCAGAAAAAAAGTCTCTATCATTAAACCAAGCCAGCACAACAAAGCAGACAATGTTTGTACAACACCACACATGTTGCTACTTGAAAGGGAACACTAATCTCCTCTACCAGAACCACACTGGGCTCCCTGAATGTTTTTCACGTTCTCCAAGGATACTGACAGACACTTCTTGCTCTGCACAGTTTTCCTTTTCCTCTGGCTTCCCACTGGGTTTGCCCTGTGCCCAGACACAGGCCTGGAGCACTGATGAGAGGTTTTTACATCCTGGTCATTGTCAGTCCCTTAAATCTTAGGTCACTGCCAAAAGAGAATATGCAGTTGTGAAATGCTTTTGCAGCTAAATTTGAAAGCTAGCATTCCCTGCTACAATCTCACATGCTGGAGGCAGCATGGAAAGAATGAGACAGTTCATTAATTGATTTCATAATTGATTTATGTGCTCCAGTGCATTCCACAGAGCCTAACAGGCAAGGTGGAAAGGGAATTAATTCCTGAGCTATGCTTTTAAGAGTAGATAGCAGAGAAACCTCAGCTGCTTGGTTGGGTATCTACATATTTAAGTGGCAGCACTTATGTTGCCATAATGGTCTAATGGTATAAGTGAGTCAAAGTTTGTTCATTATAAACATTCTAGTCAAATAATTAGATTTCTTTCACATACAGTGGTGTCATTGATCATATCAGGCTCTGAACCACAGAGCCCTGTATCAGATTCTAAAGCTATGTGATAAATGGTTTTACAAGCATACTATGGTTATCTCACTTTGGTTGTCCTTACTAATAGATATTTACCAAGACATGTTTTCAGACACTGAATTTCTGAGATTCTGAGTCATTTTGCTAAATTATAACAGTATATTTCTTCACTTTTACAAACTTCTGCCAAACCAATTACAACAATCATTGTGTCATCCTTTTCAGATTTCCTACAGTATGATTCCATTTAGAAAATGAGGTGTGACACCTCTTTTCTACAATAATTTCTACCAATATGTAAATTAATTTGAAGTCAAAGTAAAATCCCTATGCTGGGATCTGCCCAATCATTACTCTTTAGTAACTCTACTTTAAAAAAATCCTAAATTTGGACTTTCAACACCTAAGGAAGATATTACGTATAGATAAGATTTTCATCTGCAGAATTGTCAAAATCATCCCTAAGCAACTGTAAATATCTTCTTTTGAATAATTTACACAGTTAGTTCTTTATTACCAGTAGCAAAGAACAAATTTCACATGAAATGTTAATCTGATGCATACACCTGATCGCAGCTCAATCTAGAAGATACACTAGAACTGTATGAAGATAAAAAGGAGCAAAATATTTTTATTCAGTCTCCTCTGCATGGGAATAAATGCAGGATTTTATAAATTTGTTTCTGTGTTATCTTTATATTTCAATTCCCTTCCTTTGTACTTCATTATTTTTTACTTTCCTTGCTAAACAGTATGTGTACTTCATGTCCATGTTCTGAAGGCTTCTAGCAAATTCACACCTTCAGATGAGCCACAGGTTTGCACAATGATCCACTGAGGATACATCCTTTTTTGCTATAATCCTAAGAACTGTACATTCATATTAGGATTGGCTTTGCTACAGCATGTGAATGGATGTTGTTTTTCATTTTCACGGTCCAGCCACGTACATGAGCCAAACAATTTGCCAAACCTATAGTGATTTCAGAACATCTTCACAAGATAGCAAAAGAAAAGGAGATTAAAAAATATTATAGTACTTGAATAATATTTCATGTAACTACTTTCTTTTTCCCTCCACCAGACAAGAGTGCTTGTAGTCCAATATTCTATAAAATATGAACCTATGCATTGCTATGTTTTATGCCATAATAATGGCCCTATTCCAACAGACATTCTGTATAGCCTTGTAAAATATTGGGGTTTATGCATATAAACATACAGCAAGCATGCATATACACATGTGCACACAAATGTGCGCACTACATCACAATACTCCAAGAGTTAAATAGAGTGTTAAATCCTTACAGAAGCTGGCATCTCTTTTACTTTAAGACATTATAAAATATGTTGGCAGCAAATTTCTAAGCTACCAAAAACTGCATACATATACAGTATTATACATTCTGATTCTAGCCCAGCAGTAAGCATAAGAATTATTCTGAGTGGATCTTCTTTTAATTCCACAGTCTAAACTTTTGTTGTCACCATAAGCCATAAAGTCCTATTTGTTTTGCTCATATGGCAAAGCTCAGACCTAAGATTCTGACCTGTTCCCATCATTAATATTTTTTTTCATGAAATTGCACTTTTGTTTTTAAAAAACTTGGTTTTTCAAATTTAGTCAGGAGTTCAGCACACTGATTATATCATTGCTTCCACAGGCTTCTGAGCTTGCTTCTGCAGCAGTCAAATCTTAGTGAAATTAATCATCAGGACAATGAGGTGAGTGAGCTTGTGCTACAAGTCACAGTCCCTAGCACTGGAGGCATAGAAGCTGTTCAATTTTACAATAAGGCTAAGTCAAAAATTTCTATAATGCTTGTGCTAAACTCTGCATATTTCTCAACTCATTTTGCCTTCTGTATACTATGCACCTGTAGGTTAATAAAGCTCTCTGTTGAGCCAGCTATGAGGTACCTTGAATATGTCTCTTAAATTATTTGTCAAGACAAGAATTGCCCTTGATTCTTCTGAAGTTAGACACTGGACCAAATCTTCACCTTTCATCATAAGTGTTCAAGGCCAGGCTGGATGGAGCTCTGAGCAACTTGGTTTAATGGAAGATGTCTCTGCCCATGGCAGGCAGGTTGGGACCAGATTTAAGATCCCTTCCAACCCAAGCCATTCTATGATTCAGTGATTCCTTGATCCCACCATTCAACTCCTGTTCTCTGAAAAAATACCAGAGAGCTGGCATTACACAGAACAGTCATGGAAACACAAAAAATTGTGCTAATGTCTTCCATGTGGCACTGTGTCCTGTATGTATATATATTGTACATAGGAAAGAGATAACTTCCCACATTTTTTTCTCCAAATAGATAAGCAAAGACACGAGAGATTCTGAATGTCTTTTTATATGTTTCTGTTCATTTTAAGAGTTACTCAAGGATATGTCTCTTTTTTACAGTGTCAGAATGGCCAGAGGGCTGTATATTTTTCCTCTTTCTTACCCATGGAAAGGTTTGCAGACTCTGCTCAGACACTAAACCAGGCATATGCATTGTCTTGATGTAGAACTATGTTACTAATGAATTGCATAGAATGGTGGATCATTTCAAGCCATAATATTTTGCTGTAATGCACTGCCACATGCCATTTGGAACTTTTAGACCATCTCATTGTCATTTGGCACTGACAATATATTTGTTCAAGTGTCAGTACTAAGCCCTGAATACTCATTTTTCTGAATAATGTGGATCCTCATGAATCATTACAGCTAACAGAGCTGTTCTCTTGGCATAAGTAGAACACTTCAGTTTTCCCATTTGATGCTTGAGAAAATCACCCTGATGAATGCATGAACACATAGAATATAAAATACATCTGGAGGTTTCATAGCTTCCACAACCATTTTTTTCTGTGGGTTTATTAGTGAAGCCTGTGTGACAATGTGAAGAAACATTCTCTGTAAAAGCCTTGAATCTGAGCAAAACAAGTCACACTGTATTTCTCACAGCCATTTATTGGGTTTGTCCTTTATGTCTGGTACTGCTCCTTATTTTTATGAATGTGCAATTGTTTGTCTGTCTCACCTCTAAGATTGTTTTCTGCTAGACCTTCAGCTTTGGCAGTTCTGATACCACTCTCATGTTTCCACTCAAGAACAGCAGTCTGTTTACCTACAGGTGCCACTCCAGGGTGGTAGGACAAAGCAGAAATGGTGTGGGCAGCCACTGCCTGCTGCATAAAGCGCACATGAGTGAGCTGCTGTGACAAACAGCTCAATGCTCTTTGCACAGCTGCACACTGTGAAAGGACATACAAAAGGTACAAAGTATTAGAAAGGAAATGGAGAAGAAAACAGGAAGCTCTGTTTGAATCCTTTGTACAGCCACATGTCTACAAGAGTACACTGAAAGAAAGATATACAAGAAAAGTAACAGAAAAAGGACTACAAAGATGATAATAGTTACAGAGCATCTTCCTTATGTGGGCAGGCTAACTAGAGCAAACTAACTGTAACAGGACTTCAGCTTGGCAACTACATCAGAGGGATGATATAAACCTATGGTATAATAAATGGCATGGAAATGAAAAGATAATTGTTATTAATTGGTCTGGTCTTTGCATATAAAAATATGGGGACTTCTACAAAAATTATTGGGCAATAGTTTCAAAAAAAATGAAAATAAACACTTTTTTAGAAAATGTATCATTACCCGTTAGAGGGCTGGATGTCATATGAAGTCTTTAATCTGTTTAAATATTAGGTAGCAGTATATTGTCAAGCCTTGTTTCTTATATTTTGGCACTAAGCATCTGCTCCTGATTTCTCTGAGTTTTGTCGTACTATAGAGATTTTTGAAAACCATCCACAGTTTTACACTCTTATGTTACAGCTGATTCTGCTGGCTTCCACAGTAGAAACAGAGAGAAAGTTGATTTTTCAAGGATTTTTTTTGGCCATATCAACACACAGAGAGGATGACAGAAAGTTGATACACTGGTACATTGTAGTTTCTCCTTCTTTGGTGATTTTCATGCTCACCAGGACCAGTGACAAGTACTAATTTTCAAGCTGGAAATCACTTCACTGACACCTCATAGATAATGTGTGTCCATCAAAAGTATTACGTCCGTCGTGTCTACTGACATAAATGGAAGAGCTCCCATTAATTTTCAGTTGGTGCAAGAGTTTAACCTCAGTTTTCATTTTACAAAACAGAAACCCCCACAATTAACCTTTACAAACCCTAAGCAAAACCAAAACTGCTCTCATTCAACTGCTCTGTTTTGTTATCACCCATACTTAAGCCACATGGGAACTTAAAAGTCTTAGAAGATATGTGATGAGTGAGAGAAATTAATGCTAATGCGTTCAGGCTTTTAGTCAGAAAATCACTGCAAACAGCTTCCACTTTAATGCACTGATAAGCTGTCTGCATCAATATAGCTCATACTTCACCTGGGTTGTTACCAACTGGCTTTATTGGGGTTCTAATTCAAATTTTAATTGCTTTCCCACACAACCTTTTTTTTTTTTTTTTTTAATGCTTTTATGCTTTTATCCTTTTGGAAATCAGGCAAGAAGACCCTTGAAATGCATGTTTTTCTGTAAGAGAGAAAACAACACCTGCTCGAAGGAAAATGTTACCACACCTGAAAACCAGCAGTTTGTTACAGGAATAATAAATTAGTCAATTTTTACAGAAAATCTTAATTATTACGGATATAGAGTAGAATACATGTGAGTGTAACAATGCTGAAGGTACAAATATAGTCCATGAATTCTCTGACCTATTAAGACTGACTGGATGTAGCAAAGATGGAATGAAAATGCAGCTGAATACCTTATAATTTACTTTGTTTTATCCCTGAAGAGTATATATTGGGACTTTTTTATGGGCATCACTCTGTCAGTTCTTTAGCTTGATGACTAGTGCCAGCTGCAGTAATAGCTTGTAATAAAAATATTTTGGATCAAAGATAAGACCAAGCACAGAAATGTGGGATTTCTGCTGTGTAATGGCCAAAGCACCAGTCTAAACCAGGCTTTTCTTGCAGGATTCAGGCTGAGTAGTGAGGAACTGTCCCCCCAGCCATCATGGCCCTGACCACATGTTATTTATAACAGGCTATAGGCACATATGGAGGAAGCATTTGTATCCATTTTCTGTAATAATTCCAATAAGTTAATTGCTTGGTTTGCCCTTGTGACTCCACTAATTCAGAAGCTACTACTATTTCAAATCAAGGTGGAGAGGGAAGAATTTGTCCACCCTGGGTGTTTTCAGGGCTGTCTAGCTTATCTACATAGACTTGAAGGGTGCTCCTGTGAGTGACAATGATTTGCCCTCTGGGTTTGTGGCTTGCAGGGAATGACTTCACTCCACTGGGCTGCATTTCACAACAGACCCCAGCACACCCAGACTCTGCTGCACAAGGGAGCAGACCTGACTCTGGTGGACAAGGACTTCAAAACAGCTCTGCACTGGGCAGTACAGGTGAGCCACAACATGGCCCCAGTGGGATGTTTGTTAAACTGACTTGAATATTGTGGTGTCCTAAGTACTTCTAAGGAAGTAGTTTGGGTTGTGGATGGAGCATGGAAAGTGGATGCTAAAAATACCCACTAAGCCCCAGCATTTTGCCTGTGGGTATAGATCAAGGATCTAGTATCTTCTTTGGAGACCAGTACATACTTAATAAAGGCTTAGCCCTCTTGCCCAAGGTTTTTGTTTATCTCAGTGTTTGCTTCATGCTGAACTTCTGCCTATTTTTTTTTTTTTTTCACTAAATCAGGGTTGCAGAAACTAGCAGCTTACTAGCCAAAGGCCCTTGGAATAAAATATCATAAACACAAGTCAAAACAAATTTAACGAGCTACAGCTATAAAATAATTATCTGAAGCATTGAGACCCTACTTCTCTGGAGACTGGAGAAGACATGGAGCTAAACACATTTCCTGTTGAGCTTTATGTTTCTATCTCTTATGCAAAAGAACATTGTCAAATACTCAGGCCATCACTAGAGAAACAAACCATACAGGTATAATAAGACATTGAAAACTGTATTATGTAATTGTGTTAGTAAATTATATAAAATACAGAATAATTTACTGGTTTTCCAAGTTTACTGCAGAAAACTTCCCAGATGAAATTGTATGTTTTCACATGCTCTCTTATCATAGCAGTTCCAGTATCTATGTTCAAAATACTTGTACAACAGGTAAGCCAAAATAGAATTCACACAAAAATCCAGCAAAGTCTTTATACAATTACCAAATATTTGCCACCTCATCTTTTGGTCTAAGTTTGCTCTTCTTGAAAGAAGTGTCAACAAGGGAATTTGAAATTCTGAACTGCTATATACAATATTTGTTATGGCGTAAGGACATCTGAACAAATAACCTGTTTTCTTCAACCACGACCTCCCAAATATAATTAACATATAATAGGCCTAACTTTTTTTTTCTGAAGTAGAGGTATATTTTTACCTCTGCAACTGGTATTATTTCTAAAGTTTTGTTGTTCTTTAATCCTAATCAGTCTTAAATTGGACTTGATATTTTCCTTAGGAGATTAAAGGTATCTACTCAATTACCTGTTGTGCATTTTTACCATGCTTATTCCACATCTGGTTGCTTCCAGTGGGAAACATCTGAATCTCTTGCAAACTCCTTCATGATAGCCAGTGGTCTATATCATAGCTCTGGGGACAAACTGTCTGACAAACAGAAAAACAAAAGTGAATCCACTTTATAACCTTCAGAGTTCCCCTCCTTCTTTAAGCTTTCCTTGATTCTGTATTTTGTATATTTCATTATTTAATTCCACTGTTAACTCTCACCTCCACCCTTCTGTAACAAATGTGCAGAAAAAGTCTTGAGAAATGGGGAATTGGAAACAGCACAAAACCCACTTGGCCTCAGGTGGAAGGAAGTCACAAATGCCCTCTTTTCCTTTAAGCTGCTCCTGGAAATCAAGAGGAAGTGTACAGAATAACACACACACACACCTTTTTCCCTTATAGTGAGATTTCTGCCATGAAACCTTACAAATTGCCTCTTCCATGCACATGCTTCTCCACATTCTAGGTCTAAAAGTGTCATTTGAAATACCAGAGCATGAAATAGATCTGTTCACATTTCTCTTAAGCAAATAAGAAAACTCTTGGCCAAGAAATCAAAAACTTGCATTCAGTGTTCTCGGCTGCCCATTTAGGCCCAGGAGATATGGATATTGTGGATAGGCACAACTTTCTCTGCTGTACAGAGAACAGAACAACAGCTCTGCTGGATGGGATCATCGTTCTGTCTAATAGCCTTCTCTGTGACTGCTGGAAAGGAGATATTTTCCCTTTAAGAATTGTATAAATATCTTCAGAGAACAAGAGACTCACAGAGCTCAGGCAGTACAGCTGCAGGGGTTATTTTTGGCTGACTAGGGCCCTGTGTTTAATTTCTTTTTTTTTTAATGCAGTGAGGGGAAGATCAGACACTGCACAGAAACTTGTTTCAGAAGTTGCAGGAAAGAGGCAGTTTGTTCACACTGGGTTGAAACACAGTAGGACCATATGAAAATCATTACCCACCATTCAAGCCCAAATTCATGGGCATGGGGCATGTTTCATATGAAATCATTGTTCTGTGCTGACTCCTTCAAAGACTGCATGTTTGTGGCTTTGTCTTCCATCAGGCATCATGGGATGATCAATCTCATCCATGTAACCAGACAGACCTTACCCACACCAGGGTCTGCTCTTTGAGAAGCTCTAATTTCCTGTCATTCAAGTTCACATCTTAAGTACAAATATATCAGTGTCAAAAACACTGATCATTACTGTTTGGTGTGAGAGTATCTCATGCTACATTTTTTACACTGCAGTATTTCTATGTGCTGGTGCAGACAGGCCTATTAAACTTGTCTCAGGAGGTATTTCTCTCCTTTCACTCCAGCCAGCATTAATTACTGTAGTGAAAAGGAAACACACCTTTGAAATACAAAACTGTTAATTGTTACAGGGACAAAGGGTAAAGCCATTTTAACAATTCTCCATAATGGTATTGCTGAAATCCTGGTAAAATATAATATATACCATACAGCATGCACTATCATGTTACACAGTTCTATACTATAACAGTATTAGTAATACCTTGGAAACAGCCTGGGAAGATTTGGAATCTTGCTACATTGCCTTGCCTGTTGTCATCATTTTTACCAGAATTTTCTTTGTCTCATTCTCAAAGTTTCTGGCTCCCAAAGTCATATGATTATGTGAAAATATCAGCTTTCCACTAAAAAAAAAAAAAAAAAAAAAAAAAAAAAAAAAAAAAAAAAAAAAAAAANAAAAAAAAAAAAAAAAAAAAAAAAAAAAAAAAAAAAAAAAAAAAAAAAAAAAAAAAAAAAAAAAAAAAAAAAAAAAAAAAAAAAAAAAAAAATTTTTTTTTTTTAAGTGAAGAACTAGAAACCTGTAGGAATAAAAAAGAATGGAACTAGAAAGAAGCTGTTAAAAATAATATTCTGCCATGGGGATATATGCTTATGATTTTTTAATAGGGTGATTTGGAGTGCAAATTTTTTAAAACTTAGAAGCCAGCCTATTTGTTCCATAGCAACAATGCAGTTATTTCATTCTTCTGTTTCCAGAGAAGAGGGTGAAATACCTATATATGTAAAACACACTGTAAAAGAAATGCATAAGTAAGTATTAATTTGTGTTTGGCTGACCGAGCATTGCAGTTTCTCTGTAACTGGTTGGAAGTTGAAAGCACACTTAAATGCCTGGATCTCTAGGAAAGAATGTCTCTGTTGCTGCAGGACATCTCAAGAACACAGCTGGCTATCCAGCCAGAGCAGAGGAAGGGGCCAGAGGAGTCAGTGGTGGCTCAGAATCTCTCCCAAGGGATCACTTCTCTCCTTCTCTCTGCCCAACACCCCATTTTTTCATGTGGGCTACATACAGTGGAAGAATTCAGAGAGACTTCCAAAGACATCTTAAAACCCAGTGAGTGTTTCTCTACTCCAGATATGTCTGTTGTTGGACTGACCAGAAAAGGTGCATTTGCTGGACATAGTTCACTGTCTAGTTGGTTTCAGGCAGATTTCTTTCCCTTCAACGTTGCCCTTCATTTCTCCTTGTGTAATGCAGTTTTCGAAAGGTGGCTTGAAAGGAAGAATAGTGATTTCCTTTTTTATGTTACTAAGGTTTAAAGACAACTTTGATTGTTAATAAACAAGTAAAAAATATATTAAATTTTCATTTTTTAAATATACACTTTTAAAATCACTTCCTTATGTAAATATTGTCATTCCAGCGATGGTACAACTGGAACATTACATAGCAGCAGGGATCTACAGAGTGAGCTGTCAAGTTGCAAAACAAGATGGAAGAGAATTTGCAAATAGTTTTGAGTAAGAAATAAACTTGCTTTAATACCAGCAGAAGCTTGTTCCATAAAGTGCCCTAAATATTTGTGACACTGTCTGCAACAGTGAATTAAATGTACTTGAGTCTTGGCTCTGGTCCTGAGGCAAACTTTCATGGCACAACCTGTGTCCCTACTGCTATACTCTCTTCTCCAAACAGGCTGTCATACACAGACCACCTACTGGGAATGATCTGGCACCTATATTAGCTCCAGGAGCTGGTAGGGAAAGTATTAATTGACCCAGGCCTAAACCATGCCAGGGAGGATTTTAGGAATTATTTAGTACAGACAATGAAATTCCAGTGATGAAGGATGTTCCTAGGTGCTGCTTCATTTTTTATATAGCTGCAGCCTATTTCTTCACTTTAAGTTGCCACAGAATAAGTTGGAAGAGACTCACAAGGATCATTGATTCCAACTCCTGGCCCTGCACAGGTCACTCCAAGAGTCAGACCTGTGCCTGAGAGCATTGTCCAAACTATTCTTGAATTCTGTCTGACTTCGTGCTGTGACCACTTCTCTGGGGAGCTGTTCCAGTAACCACATCCCTGGGGAGCTCTTTCAGTACCCAGAAACTTACTGGGTGAAGAAACTTTTCCTGATATCCAACGTAAACCTCCCCATATGACCCCATTTCCTTGGGTCATATCACTGGTCACCACAGATAAGAGAAGCCTGTCTGCCCTTCCTCTTTCCCTCATAAGGAAGTTGTAAGTGCAGGCTGAACAGACCGGGTGACCTGAGCTGCTCCTTATATGGCTTCCTTGCAGTCCATTCACCATCTTCATTTTTTATCCTCCTTTGGATAATAGTTTAATAACTTGATTATGGTGTAGCACCCAAAAGTGCCCCAGCACTCGAGGTGAGGCTGCCCCAGTGCAGAGCAGAGCAGGACAATCAATCCCCTCCCTTGCCCAGCTGTCAGTGCTGTCCCTGATGCTCCCAGGTCAGGCTTGGCCCTCCTGGCTGCCAGGGCACTGCTGGCCCATGTTTAACTTGCCATGGACCTGAACCCCAGGGCCCTTTCCATGGCACTGCTGTCCAGCCTCTCATTGCACTGTCTGTCTGTACATC